AAAATAAGGCAAAGTTATTTTGATTCTGAGCAGTTAAAACAAATTAAAATGTGTTTTTATTTTGACTCTTGAAGGTTTTTTCTGGTAGGCAAATACTTTCATCAGTGAGGAAGAACTCCCTTGTTATGAATATGGAAGTCCTCCTTTATTTCGTTATGTTAATAATAATAATTTAAAAAACCACACTTTCTCAGTATTGCTTAATCCTGGCTCTGTCCATGAAAGCACAGTTGGACTCTTATGAAGAAACTGCACAGCATACTGTTGAAAATGTCCAAGGTCAATTCCAGGTTTGCTGGATTACAAAAAACATGGCCAAGTTTGCATGGTTGGAATGTACCTTTTGAGGTTTTCCTTTAGGTTGGTGAGACTGCTATGAAGACAAATGGGTAGAGCAGAACAATGGAATTACACTCTTTTTTGTGGAAAATAAATAAATAAAGGAGAACAAATTTCCACCATATACAGAGTCCATAGCAAAAAGGAACACAGAAAGAGGAAGGCACATTGTATGTATTGTGATGGTGTGGTCTTATGACTGTGCCCATACTCTGAGCCATGTGCCACACAATCTTATGAGTGAGGCAGAACACATTTTTGTGTGGTTTCCCTCCACCCTCCCTTCAGTCAACAAGGGGATTTCTGTTCTAAGGCAGTGGCGTGGGCTCTGATCAGTACTCTTTCATGAACAAGAATAATTAATTTTCTATTCTTGTGATTCATTCTTGTAAGGAAGAGGCTAGGTTGGCTAAAATTTTGACACAGTTACATATGTTTAATAAAAGCAAAGCTGCACGCTGCTGCCCCCCTTTTTGTGTTGCCAAAGCACATTGACCTAGAATAGAGCCAGTCAGTCAGTCTCTCCCCCCCCCCTTCCAGTGTACACACAGGTTTGAAGCCTGTATATGGCAGGCACAAAGCCCAGGGATTGGTGGTTATGCATTTCCACCTTGGGAGGAGAGGTATTGCCCCAAGGGTTAGCACAAGTATTTTCCTGCTCCTTTCTTGCTTGGCTGACATGGGAGTCAAGATGTAACATTTCCAGAAATTCTGAAGCCATGTTGGGTGAGGTGGAACACAACAGCATTGGGAAGCAGCACAATAAATATCTGCAATACTTAATTCACACATCAGCCCTGAACCTACTGTGCCGCTGTAACAATGGAAAATGCTTCATTGATATTTTAGCATGTAGAATTGTGCTCTGCCATACCTTTGTTTTGTCCAAGCACTATCACTTGTACTCCAAAAGAGCTGGAAACTGCTCCATTCCCTGTGACTGAAGTTCCATGTGTCCTGTTTTTTCCTACCTGAGAAGTGTGGGAGGGGAGAGAGAAAAACAGAAACCATGAATTGTGTAATTCATAAAAGAAAGTCCATTATTTGGCTGGAAATCCTTCTGTTTTTCTTGTGACCATCCACAGTACTAAACAAATCCAGAGGTCGCCAGAAGAATCTGAGCAGCCATTCACAAGAAGTGAGGCCTCTCTTCTCCATGTTAACTCATGAGATGAAAGCCTCCGCCAACCTATCAGTGGGTGCAGAATCTGTATTCAGTGTGTACTGGAATGGATGTTTTTTAATTTTATAGATTGTCCTACATACAGATCTTCATACTAAGCAGTTTGCAGAATTTTAAGTAAGCAAAATCTTGCTTTAGAAAAAAAAACTTCACTTATCCCCCAAGAGAAAATATTTCATCAAAGATCTCTCACCCCTCCCCCAAACCTGCTACTGACATTCTTCAAAGTTTCCAATTTCTCCACTGGGGGGGGGATGTCCTTGGAAAAACAAAGAAAAATTGGTTTCCTGAAAAATTTCTATTCCACGGTCATCTTGGTCATATCTGCAGATGAGATTACCATAAACAATTATTTTCACTGAGTGGAAGCCCCTCTTTGAAACACATACCCAGCATGTTAAAGTCAATTATGTGTTAAGCTTTCCAGTGCAAATCCCAGAATAAACAAGTAATAATTCCATTTTCTGTATCCAGTTTTGTAGAATCATGGAATGATACAGAACTGGAAGGTGCCACAAGGGTTACTGAGTCCAAACCTCTGCCAGAGCATTTGGTCATCACTCCCCACCAAGCATTTCATCTGTCTAGGTGGACACATGGCCTTGGCATTGTACTCCATGTTTCAAAGGAAATTAGTTATGATTCATTAAAACTTAAATTGAAATCTGAAAACAAGGGTGGGTGATACCTGTATTAGACCATTAAAATCTCACAAATGGGTACTAGCCTTTGAATCCTGCAGGAGTTTTCATTAAGCTGGGCACTGCAGAGCCAGAAGGGGTGCAGAGGAAATGAAATAATTCTCCAAAACCTTTTAGTCATAAATGTGAGCCTTGTTTGTCTGTTTGTTGCTGTACAAATTTCAGAAGCGTAACTGAGAGATGTAGTTCCTGATGTGGTCCCCCCCCTTTGGGATTAGTCTCATTTCATTTACTGTGGGGTATAATCAAAAGAATCGTCTGCCACACTGTGCCTAATGTGAAAAGCCTAAAGATGAGAAATAAGGTTAGCCTGCAGGCAGCATATGTGGCTTTGACTAAGAAGCCCTTCCAAACAAGCAGGTATAGATCTACTGGTTGCCCTAATCTCTTGAGATGATCTGTCTGCCTTGGGGCCCATTGATTTCCCTTTCAATCTTCCAAATTTACAGTGTGAAGCATTGCAGGGAGTCACTCAGCAGCTTTGGCCTCCTTGTGGAACATTTCATTTAGGGAAAGCGAAATCTACGATGTGGCCTAATCTCCATGCAGAAGATATTCCTGCTCTGTTTGTGTCAGAGGTTTTCCATAAAAGGCTCCCAAGTCACTGGATTCTGCTGTCTGGCTTCATAGCAGATGCTTCAAACAGATTAGGGTTTTGGAAACCATCCTGCTCCTTCAAGATCTTTTAAAATAGCAGTCTTCTCCCCACCCAGATGTAAAGCCAGAAGCAGCTTTGGGATTTGCTGCTGTTGTTTACTGGGATTTTAGAGTGACAGTAGAGAGTCTGAAATATTCATGGAAGGGGGAAGCGGTTAGGCGTGAGACCAACAGCAGGCTGTGATCACATTTTCCTCCTCATGGTGGGGGTGGCCCTCCTGCTCTCCCTCTCCCCCTTCCTTTTCTGCATACAGAGGGGACCAAATGACACGCTGATGAGAACAGAACATATGTTTTGAGTACATCTTTCTTGGCTGGAATGGCGATCCTGTAAACGTCTGGGAAGCTTTGCAACAAGCTGCTAAGTGCCAGTCTGTTCTAATACCATGAGTTGACAATGAAATGTAGCACAAGAAAATCTCTCTGCCATTTTGGAGGAAGATATTTCAGTTACAAAGGTTTTTTTTTAAGGAAAAACTTAAGCAATGTTTTATAAACAGTTTATGACCTCTTTTTCTTATAAGGAGCTAGCAATTTGTCAAATTGTCATATATAGTACTATATATATATAGTGCTATATATATAAAAGAGAGAGAGAGAGAGAGAGAGAGCGTATTGTGTTTGGATGTCCTTGCAACAGATACACTGATGTTAATTTTGGATGATAATTGTCCCTCCTGCAGTTGTTGGGGGGTGTTTTTTAAACCATCCCAACTAGACTGGACATTATGAATTTTCTTGTGCTGAGCAATAGGTTTTCAGCTACTGTTGCTTTACAAATTCATTGTTGCATTTTACAACTGTGTAAGTATAGTAACCCATTGTTGGGCCTTCTAGGATATGCAGTTGCTGATTATTTTGTTGTGCAAGTTCCAGCTGTCTTTTCTCGTGCAGTCATTTCTTTCAGATATGCTGCATTGCCTCCATATGTATCTTGTTAAGTATTTTTGCTGTAAAAATGCAATTCTACCCTTAGCTACTTTTGGCATTGTAGCTGGGAATAGAAACCTGAAATGTGGTTGCATCGATTAGATGATGCTCACTTAGTTGTTTATTACATTTTAGTTCTGCCTTTCCACTTAAAAAGTATTAAGGGCGATTAACACTCAGCTGAAGGCAAATTATGCATATATTTTTTTAAAAAAAATCACATCAGTGATAACAGGTGAAAGGCAAGTTGGAAAAAAAAGGTGTCTTCTTACTCTTCCTGAAACAATGAAGGTGGAAGCATAGCCTAATGCTGAGGATACTGGATTTTGCAATTTGAGAGCGATACAGGAGTTACTGCTTCCAGATGCCCATCAGATTGTTCACCACAGCTGATGGCATTGTCAGGGCCTTGCCTGCAGATCTGAACATGAAGATTGTTTCATAATGGGGCTGATTATTCCTGAGATACCCAGGCCCCAAACTGTTTAGGGTTTCATTATATTCCTTCTTCAGGAAAGTGGCTTTCTATGAAGCTGGAACAGTCCATTTTAAAAGCAGCATCTAGACAGCTTATTCTCTCTGCATTGAGGCCAGCTAATTTCTGAAGACCTGCTTCAAATGAGTCAGGCATCTGTATTGGTTCATTAAGACAAAATTCATAGGATGAGGATTGACCCAATGAATTTGCAGGTGGCATGTTTGTGAATTGTAGCAGGAAGCTTCTGTATCTTCTGTTTTTACGCTTGGTAAATTTTAATTTCTGTGGAAGCCCCCCATTTCTCAGGCTCACAGAAGCCATGGTAAACTAGTAAGCTGTTTTTGCTAGCTATCACAGGTGATGTCAAAAGCAGTATTCATCAGATGCCCGTGATGCTTATGTTTTTGGAAGCACATGAAATCACAGTAATCCCCATAGTTACCAGGGTTGAACCAGGATTTGAATCAAGACTTTCAGAATAGTCCAACAAAGGCTAAAATACTGCAGTGATGCATTTTTAAGACATAATATAGGCCCTCTCCTAGTCCGATGTCTGCAGGCTTTCATTATGGCTTTTGGCAGTGTTCTGTGTATACTTCTATGGCTAAGAGGGATGATCACTTCAGTAGAGAAGCCTCTGGGACAGGAAAAGAGCCTTCGCCAAGGTACTAGACCTGTTTGAAAATCACCTGTTTTTCTGTCTCCTTTTTAGGATAAAGATAAGGTTTCTCTAACCAAGACTCCAAAATTGGAGCGGAGTGATGGCGGCAAAGAAGTGAAGGAGAGAGCAACAAAACGGAAGCTGCCTTTCACTGTTGGAACAAATGGAGATCAGAAAGATTCAGATACAGGTAAGGGAATAGAAAAGTCCTGTGGCTTTGAAGTGGTGTTGGAGGAAGTATCCACCTCAGTCTTCTCATGCATGGAATAATCACAAGAGGGAGGCAAGGACCTATGTGAAAGAGTTCCTCCATTGTGACACTCTTTTGTGACTCTTTCATACTGAGTAAGGTTTGCTATGTGCTGACTTTGGTGCTGGCCTTTCCATTGTTAAATGGTGATCCCCCCCCCCCCGGTGTTTTTGACTCCTGTTGTTGTACTGATGAGCTACCCTAAGAATATCAATGGGCAACTCTGGTCTTTGAAAAAGAATCATAGTAAGGTCATTCTGGTTCAAGTGGTAGAGGAAGGTGGGTGGGGTTTTTTATGAAGGGAAGTGTCATGGTTATCACTTGTTTTAATTAACAGTTACCAGCTGTGTGCCTGTGCATTGGTCACAGAAGATGTGATATCAGTCTTTCTGCCCAGCAGGCTCACTCTGTTCTGACTTTGTATTTGTTCTCTCTATTCAGTCTGGCTTGTTTGTTGTCTGGGTAGGGACAGTGCCCCTCCTAAATGGCATGGGCTAATGTTGATGTTCAGTCCATTCTTCGTAATAGTTGTATACCCTGGGCAATGAGAAAGAAAAGTGTTGAAGGTGCATTTACATATGCTGCCCTTGGTGTTCCATTGACTAAAGTCAACAGAGGCAACCTGGCAGTTTCCTGCACTCTGGTTTGCAACCACCATCAGTACCATCCTGCAAGGAAAGTGGTCAACAGCTAAGAGAGTCTGTCCAATATATCTGGAAGGCATTGTGTTGCCAGCTTTGCATGCCTATCTTAGTACCTGCTCATATGAACAGGATGGAGGGGTACTTAGGGAAGGAGGAGTTAGTTTTGCAACTTATAGATGGACTCTGCTCCCAGGAAGCAACCTTTGCTTGCCATTTGTACATCTTATGGTAGTACCTCGTGTGTGCCAGAGATATCAGCCATGGTGGTTGTTGAACGTTAGATAAGGCTGTAAGGTAATGACTGTTTGTTTTGCAGGCAGTGGCTGGCAGGTTAAAACAGGAAGGAAGTCGTGCATGTATTATGTGTTGGCACATTCTGTAGTCATGGCATATTTCAGAATTTGCGCTTCTTTTAGTTTTTGTTAATTGCTGTTGGGCACTCAGAGCGTTCTGCCTCTTACCAACAGAAGGGGGGGGAAGAATGACCTTATTGGCTGAAATCCTGTAGGCATAAATTTACACTACATAAACGAGATATAAAGGTGGGGGAGGAGCCTTTAATACCCTAGAATCATCAGCGGCAAACCTGAAAGGGAATAGGAAGGTTTCAATTCATTTCAATTAAATATTCACATCGTAGAATGATGACATCATCGGGATACCCTGAGAAGCTTTGGTCTTTGGGTTTTATGTACAGCAGCAGTTCAGGGAAGTTCCTAGGTCTTTGGCAGAGCATACTGTGTTCCACGGTCTTTATTATGGAATAGTAGAGGTTGGCAGGATGCCATTGACCACTTAGCAAAGTGTCTTGTGCGGAGATCCCATGCCAGGGAGCCATCTACTCATTCGCCCTTCATCTGGAAATCTTCCTCCCAGTCTGTCATCCCACAGGCAGGGCTAGTATCAACTCCTCTGTGATCCAGTAAGACTTTGCAAATGACAATATGTTCCTGAGCCACCAAATACAATGGTGCCCCACTAGACACTTACCCCGCATGATGTCGAAATCGCTTGATGATGACTTTTTTGCGATCGCTATTGTGATCGCAAAACTATGGTTCCTACGTCGATTAGGTCCCTGCTTTGCGAACCATTTGTTCGCAAAACAATGTTTTTTCCGGCTCTGCAAAATGGCTTCCCTTCGTAAAATGGCTATTTGAGCTATTGGTTCCAATGGGAAAAAAGTATTTTTTGTCAGTGAGGAAAGCAAATTGTTGCTGGTGTCATTCCCTGAACCGTCTGCCTTACCTTACTTTTGTCCTATAAAAACTCATCACTCAGTCAGTAGCAGCCTGATTGTCCCAGTCTGAAATATGATGGCCTGTGGATGAGCCCAGATTATGAGCAAAGGAAATGTCCCACCTTGGAATTGTCTTCATAGATCGGTTGGGGAATGAATAAACTCAGGATTAGAACCCTGGGTAGTGCTTCTCTGGGGAGCAGTTGTATATGACTGTTGCTTCCAGTCTGTGAATAAACATGATGGCTCAAAAGTGGATAATCTGGCATCCCATTTGTCTCCCTTATGTGACAGTTTGCACATTTTATTGCCTGTCGTGATTATTGTACAGCTTAATCCACTATCCACTCCTGTGATGAAGTATAGGAGCCTTCAAAAACTTGCCTTCCATTTCCAAGAGGCACCAGGCCTCTTCTCCAGAAAAGTTATTTAAAGCCCTTTTTTCTTAAATCAAATTGGAAGCATATGGGAATTGCAGGATGGATGATTTATTGGAAGGGTGAAGTAAGCTGCATTATTTGCATCCTCGCTGTGACATTTTCAAAGCAAGTGCTTAGATCCTCAGCAAAGGCTTATCTTCCATTTTCATGCCAGTTGGTAGAAAAAGAAAATGATAGCTTGTTTACACAGTTCAGGTTCAGATTTTTCTTTCAGTCATGGCCTAAGTTTTCCCAGCAAGAGTTACGCAGTTCTCTTATACAAGCATGAATCAGCTGAGGATTCAGGCCATTTTCTGCTAATCGCAGTGAAAAAAAATTCTCACAGAGACTTTTCATTGGCAGACTCTAATCTCTTGGTTTCTTAAAGTTTCTGAACCATGTGCTGTAATCTCAAGAGTAGGTGCTGTGTTTATTTAAGAGAGAGAGAGAGATGTTGTCTAAAACAGTACAAATAGTGCCCTTTTATTGGACCAGGTGCACAGAACTTTTAAGCCAGCTGCTTGCCCAATTTCATATAAAATTCTATGTGATTTCTTTGGGCTATTTGTTAACAGTGCTCTGTGCTATGAGGAAACACTACCTTGTCTGCCTGTGAAACTTCCTTCCCCTTTCAACTCTCCCCCCCCATTTTACTATTAATTCTGGGTAATGTTGACCCCCAGCAGCTTCCAAAATGTTCTACCAATACTCATTCCTGTCCCTCTCCCATTATGTGTAGTCCTGTTGTGCATATATTGATTCTTCCAAGATTGAATGGAACAATAAAGCAGAGGCCAAGAACATATTTTAGAAATCTTTTCTCACTCATGAAGCCTAAGGCAGGTCTGCGGTGCTGTGTTGAGACAAGGGCCTGGAATGTTTCCAGATCTTGGCCAGTACTTAGGTCAAAATCTGATGGGAACTGTCTCTCCGGGAAAAGGGAAGGGGCACAGTAGAAAGGCTTTGAAGCAAACCAAATGGTGGTGAAGGTGGCGCAGTTCCTCTGGGAGAGAATCTTCAAAAAAAAAAGTTGTGTTTCTGCTCTGGTTGGCTGTTACCTCTTGCTCGATTATTTTTTCCTGATCTACTGGCTGAATTGTGGAGCTGGCTAGAGGGTGCCAGACTCCTCCCCGGAGCCTTCAGCTCTCCCCCCTCTGCATTGTGTCATGTGGTTGGCCTGTTTTTCTGCTCTCACTGTTTCACAGATGCAGGCAAATGGTTGACAGCACTCTGTTGAATGCTTTTAATGTGTGCTAATGAGTCATAGCTGAGGGTGGCCCTGGCCCCTTCTTTTCTTGTAGTTAGGAGGTATAACTTCTGCTTTCAGAATCTTGCCTACCAAGGAAGAAAGGCATTAAAGGAAATTTAGGAAACTCGAGGTATGATCTAGGTACCAAATAAGTGGCCTGAATGAGAATAAGCTAGCACACCTTGCATCTCTCTCTCTCTCTCTCTCTCTCTCTCTCTCTCTCTCTCTCTCTCTCTCTCTCTCTCTCTCTCTCTCTCTCTCTCTCTCTCACACACACACACACTCCCCACTTTTCTCCTTAAAAGGACCCAATATGTCAGGGCTTCTGTGCTCATTGGTGAGGCAGAGGCAGGATCAGAAAGAGCATCTTAGAAGGGAAGAAAAGGAAGATTATACATACATAGTCTATTTCCAGGGGAACTGTCACCAAAAAGGCAGAACCATTTCACTATAAGCTAACTAGATAGCTAAAAGGAGCACAGAGGGAAGGCAGAGGCAATACGGTGACAGCGAGCAAGCAGTAAGAAGCTCTCATCAGCACAAAAATGGAGTGGTTATAATGGGTGATTTTGGAAGTTGTAGTTCAAGGAAGCTGAACACATAGGCAAGGACCCTCACAAGAAGAATTTCATTTAGAATCTATCACCCCAATTTTTGGCTGCTGTGAGTGTGTGAGAGGGAATATAGAATTTTGAACCTGCAAATCATGAATATCCACACTGCTGTTCTGTTGACAAATATTTTGTTTTATTTTTTTACACACAAAACTGCAAAGAAAGTTTGCTTGCTGCAGCAGATGGTAAGCAAAGTGTTCAAATAAGCACAAACTTTGCAAAACTTTATTGGGTCAAGTCCTTTAAGGCAAGCAATTCCAACTGTGTTGGAATTGTTAGATGGAAGTTAAGAGGATCCTTGTTAGATAGAAAGTACAGAATTTGTTGCAATATTTAGATGCCTTCATTCTTGGTAACAATAGTGTGAGTACGTTGTCATTTTTTCCATTTGTATTGCTGAAGTAGACATGACTTGCCCTTCTTACCAAGGGTATTCCATGACTGGTCTGTCATTTGAAACCAAGGTCCAAGTTAAAATATTTCTGCTGTTGACTGCTGTTAGTAGTTTATCTTTGTTCCTGTGAGATTACCCGTGGGTCTTTCTTAAAGGTTCGTCCTGATACAGTTTAGTGGAACAAAAAATCTCCAGCATACAAAGGTGAGAAGGAGGAGTGTTTTTGTTGTTGTTATTTTGCTTTTGTTTTTTTTATCCTTTACTAAAAAAGATTGGAAAACACATCCACAGCCTCTCAAGGGAAGCAGATGAGCAAAATGGCATGCAAGTCTGAGGATCAATCAGGCCTGGCTGTCCTTGGAGTGAAATATAACAGCTGT